GCTTTTACAATCCAATATTGATTTTTTTCGTTGTGTATTTATTTCCTTTCTTTGGATTGTCAGTTTGGCCTCTCTACCGCCCCTCCTGAACCAGTCATTCCATCTAAGAAGCCCTTAAAAGTGGAGCTTGTTGGAGGAAAACGGTACTCATGGTGCAGCTGTGGACACAGCAGAAAACAGGTGAGAGAATGACTTTTAAAAAAAGTGCAAACCATCCAAAAAAGATAAAAGTTTGTGAACTTTTTTTTTAATCTCCTTGTTTTCAAGCCGTTCTGTGATGGATCCCACAAAACCAGAGGACAAGGAATGACTCCAGTCCGCTTTGTTCCAGAGAAAGACTCCACAGTCTGGCTGTGTGGATGCAAGCACACCAACAACCCACCTTACTGCGATGGCACACACAAGCAGGACTTCATTGCCTCTGCTCCGCTGCATGAATACACAGACTGATGAAGGTGGTCCGCCCTGAGAACTGAGGGGAGACGCATGCAGGGAAAACTGCCCCGAGGGGCTTTCCTGTTTATGCAATTATTTTTTTTAAACTCAGGAGGACATCAGTTTCAGCCAAACACCACAATCATTGGGACATGTTGCCTGTTTACTAAAAGGCAATCTGCTACCGCTGAAAAGTGAGACCGAACAGGACCGGAAAAACCCAAGCAAGTGTTCTTTTAAATTTTATGATGATGGTGTGATTTTACACCTAATTATGATGAAAATAGGGGAATAATAAAATAAATCCAACATAAATAAAGTTACCATACCTCTAAAATCTGTTGTTTTCTTAAAGCTGTTGGTGAATCATTGCTTTTCTGCACTCAAAAATGCACAAATAACAGAGACTGAATATAGTTTTGGCAAAAAAAAAAAAAAATCAGTATAAGTGATGGGGATATATTTTTAATAGACAACAATGAACCGAAGGTCGCTGTTGTCATGAAATCATCTCATTACTAGAGGCTCCGATGCATTAGTTGAATTGAAAGTTACTGGGGGACGACAGCAACTCATCATGCACAGAGGTCACCGACTTCACGTTCCGCCCGTAGCTACAGATCTCACTTTGTGGCTTTCAGATCACCTTTAAGAAGCAGCGTAAACAGCTAAAACAGATGGGGTCCCGTGGCTGATCTGTTGCATAGAATGCTGACATTATGCAGCTTTGGTGGTTGCTGGTAGAGCAGCACTTGACTCCCGACACTGTAAAGTTTCGGTGCAGATGGGTTCATGCTGTGGGGCTGCTTTCAGGAGATGAGTTCGGCCCATTTCCTCCTTTGAAATTAACTCTTAATGCTTCATAATAGAAGCATTAAGCATTTAAATTTCAGGTTATTTCAGTTTTGGTTAACATGACTAACATGAGCACGATTACACAAAGCATTGCATATAACGTCATAGATGAGGGAATTTGGTATAGAAAAATATGAGTGGCTCACAAACACAGCTGACTGAGCTAAATACAAACAAAACACCTTCAGAAGTCCATCATCTGCACCTGACCTCACTAAAACCCTTTAAATCAAAAAATAATTTATTGATCTCAAAAACGGGAAATTTCTGTCCACTTCTGTCAACTTGTTTGAAGAATTTCAGTAAATAAAGTTGTATAAAGGGCGGACAGAAGAGCTGAGGCTGTTATGGCTGCAGAGGATAAGCAAGATCTCATTCAGGTGTACATGTTCAGAACAGGAAGTCATTTAAAGGCATCTTGAGAGAATACTATGACAAAATCATGTAGGAGTGTAGAAAAGTACAGAAACCTTTAAATCGCGTCATGATCCATTAAAACTAGGAATAAATATGTAACCCAGTATCTCTGGGCTCAATATTGTTTGATCCTAAAGGACTGGAAGGAAGGTTATTAAGATATTCCAGGAGTCATAAATTCCCACTTTGCATTTCAATGTCATTTTCAGGCTGTTTGATGGAGTCATACTCTAGCAGAAGTTCATATGTGAGGCAGATGACAGAGCCCAAGATGCCAAAGGTAATGACAGACTCGAAAACATCATTAAGCTGCATGAGAATAAGAGGAGCGAGGAAAATAGGAAACCATAGCAACAGAAATGGTCATCGCCATACTGCAGGATTTCTAAATAAGCTGTCCCAATCAGAGCATGGGAAAACCTCAGTGTAGAACTATTAAACTGTCCCCCACCTAGATAGTGCATTTTAGATAATAGAGTCAGTGTCTTTATGTTACATATCCATTGTGTGGAATAAATGCTTTGGTGACAAGCAGGACTAAAAAGGAGGCTGTTTTAAGTGGGCTACTGTTGGTCTTGACTAGATTTCGAGGTGCTTTTAATTAGCAAAAGAAATCGCAGCTGGAAATCATCTAATGTCTCTCAACCAAATGTGTTAAGTTTCAGAAAAAAAATATATTTTAATTTATACCATTTAAAATTGGAAATTCTCACTATATATAGCACACAGTTATCTCTAAAAAGAAAAACAACAATTAGATGCAGAAATGTTTATTTACAGGCGTGTCTCATCCACACATGGTTAGCATCACACAAACAGGTTAAAGCATGGCTATATGCATGGGAAGTAAGCTTGTATGAGCGCTGAATTATTATTTTTTTTATTGGAGAAGGCATTTCTTTTCAAAAATTTGCGAGAATCCTCCACTATACCTTTAATAGTTCCTCTTAGGTTGCATTTAAAAAAATAGTTTGGAAGCAAACTTTAGATTTGTGCTGTCAAATTTGGAAAGTCAATGATGAGGATTTGCAGATTCACTGAGGCTGCTGAGGTTTTTTGGAGCCAGGAAAGATGCTGCTAGGAAGAATCATGCTGTGGGCCTTAAAGTGGCACAAGATGAAAACTCATCCTGAGCAAAACTGTTTATTTCAAAGATGGAAGATCTTCAGAGGCAGGAAACACACTGGTATCTATTCTCAGTAAAGAGATCCAAATGCTTTCCGAGTTAAAACGATGATTGGACAAAATCGAGGTTGACCTGTTTGGCTGCAGTGACTCAGCCTTTAGGATCAGAGAACACTGAACCAACTATTAGTCATGGTGGTGGCAGGATTGTTCTGTGGGATTCTTTCGCTGACGGTAGGCCGGACGTATGACATGAACTGGATGGAATGAAGGAGGATTTCCTCTGAACTCTACACCCTTGTTTGAAAACAGTTCAACGTGTGAAACTTGTACACATCAGGGTGTGTCGGTAAGACTGGTTTCAATTATATTAGACTGAGTAAAACCTGGTTTATGAGTTAACCTTCCGAAATACATGGGGATTCTCAAACCTTGTTATTTGCTACAAATCCAAGATATTTATCATTTATTTCCACCTTTCTGAAAAGAAGTGTGTTCAAAAAGCAACGTGCTACAGAAATGTGCATAAATGAGTTCAATTTTGCTGTGTGGATGATATAAGATTCACATTAAACAAAAGTAGCTCAATTTTAGTTTTGTTACACAACCCCCCCACTCTGGAAACACAAAACAAAACCTATAAAATAAATAAAAAATACCCAATAGGAGTGGATGAAAAGTATGTAACATATATGAACCAGCTAAGTCAGATATTTCCTCTGGATGAAAAGAGATATTTAGAAAACAGGAGGCTCAGGTCAGGAAAACCTAGTAAGTAAACATTTTATTGACCTACAACATGCACATATGGCTGATTTCAAAAACGAATCTGTTGAAAAGCAACGGAACGGGAATGCTGAAATGTACGGAACAACATACATGGCAAAACATTTCCAAAATCCCTTCTTATTCTCCCGGTTCTATAGACAAAGGCTGACGGACACCTCACCCGCCAGCTTGGTAGTGCTTGGACTCGAGTGTGATAATACAGCTGAAAAACTCTCCAGCTGAGAAGAATAACCGGCTGGGGACCTTCACATAAAAAGTGCATCAACTGTTTTCCATAAATGTACATGCAACCTGAAGAGGTGCTGCTTATTATTCGGACGCTTTCAGAGAAACTCTTTTAACCGTTTTTTATTTTTATTTTCTTCCTTCGACATTCAACTGAACGCGGCGACTAGCACCACAAGAAGCGTTGATGATTCTGCGGCAGAAGTTGAAATGAAACGGACCCACTGCGTTTACAATACAAAAACGGTTACGATATCTTGTATAAAAGATAAGTTTATACATATGTACGCACACATGCTGACATTAGATACATACTGTACAGTTTGTATGTGTGCACGGCTCTAGTCTACCACAAAAACACGCACATACATACGAGAGTCTATTTGGCTGCACGTCTCGGTCTTTCCCTCTGATCCGCCTCCTGCCCGTCCGGAGGGATGAAAGCTGGAGCCTCCGTCGGCTCCATGAGGAAATTAAAGGGAGCAGTTTAAAGATCACTGTCCTCCCCTGCGTTACCCCTGTAGGTGTTAGGTCGTCGGGGGCGCACCGCTTTTGTCGCCTCCCCGCGCCTCCTCTTTGCCGGCGGTGGAGCTCGTGCCATTGACAGTCACTTTCCGGCTGCCGGAGGCCTGCTTGGGGGCGAGGGCATGTCGCTGAGTGCTGCTGGGCGCAGCGGTGCCGTTTGGGCTTTGGAGGGCGGCGGAAACGTTGTGGGAGGAGGGGCTTGTCTGGGAAGGGGCTCTGGGAGGCTGTGGTGCTGCAGGATTGTGGAGTTTGTCGCTATGAGAGTCGCTTTCCGACGCGGGGCTGGTACCATCAGATTTTGCTTGGGCGGTGGTCTGCGAAGGCCTCCTGCGTTTCCGGGCGGGTTTGACCAGGTACTGCAAGGGAATGGGTCCGGTCTGTGTGGAAATATGTACAAGAAGATACAGTTGGATGCTGAGGAGATCTTTGCATTTTAGAACATCTGATAATTATGATAATAATAAGACTCAAAACCAAATTTAAAAAGGCACAAATCTTGGTCTCTTGCAACAGTTAGCAAATTTTATGCAAACTGGTCTCATTACCAGAATTACGTAAATAAGATGCTATCAATGGGATTTTCTGTCACTTTCCTCTCAAAATAGAAAAGGAAAAACATAGTTTTCATATTTTATTCAATTTTGTTTGTTTAAAAAGTTGCAGGATGAGTCCATATTTATCCACCTTGATTCAGAACCAGTTTATGCTAAAACTGCAGCTGGACATTATTTGAGGTATTAAAACACCTTATACATTCAGAGAAGAATTATTCACAACATTTTTACCACCAATTCTCAGTAATATAAGGCTGTGCACTTTGACTGGACAACCCCCCCCAAGGAAAAAAAAGAAAAAAGTAATGTAAACAATAAGTCAACCATATTCTTACCATATTCTTAGGACCACCTATCCTGATTTTTTTTTTTTTTAGACATTTCCCTGCTGGTATTAATGGGTGATTATCAGGCGTTTATAGCCCTCAATGGCCTAGAGGAGGTAATGCAATCCAATAATACAGAAAACGCATCTACAACATTTAGGACAGGCAGTGCTGAGGACAAACCTCTACCTCCTGACCCACTCTGTCTCTGCAGTTTGTTCTCTATGGAAGTGCACGGTGCACAGTTCATCTAAATACTCATGATCATACCATAAAAGGAAGAAAACTTGTCGTTTCATTCTAGGGCTTTTAACCAGGCTTGCATTAGGGCTCATAGCAGGGGCATCAGCTGACCAAATACTATACTGGGGCACAATACGGCACTAAAGAAAATACGAGCGCAGAAAGCGTACCAGTAAAACATTTTTTGTGCAATTATTTATTTTTAAAAAGCATGGGCACAGGTAATTAATGCACGCACCGGGCAAATATTTTATAGAACTCATGTATTATTAGAAAGCGTCATAAATAAATTGTACAATCAGATTGTTATTTTCTGCATCATTAAATATCTACCTGAACCAAATGGAATTGAATTGGCCCACTTGTGAACTTAACCGTATATATCTAATTTACTACTGATGAGGGCACAATTTATCTTCATTAAATATCTGTCAGCAAACATGAACTTGAAATGTGCAACTGTAAAAGGAAAAACAAAAAAAAACGCCTCTACATAGATACATGTCTGTGTTTATCATTTCTATTAGGGCCCATCCTATCATGGTGTGATGGTGATGATCCTATGCGGCGTGTATATCATGGCCACAAAGATGGGAGAGCTGGATGTTCATTTTTTTTAACAGTAAATGGTAGCGTCTCAGCTTCATTTTTGCGAAGCTGTCGATCAATCGTGACTGGCTTAACCCTGTAATGCAAAATGTATCATATTTGATACATACGGTTTCTGAAATGTTTTGCGTCTAAAAACTTTTGCATAATTTAATGGTAAAAACTGCTCAAAATCCTATTGTACACCATCAGATATACCTGATAACAGCCAGTAGAAGACTACACAAAAAATAATCTTGACTTATCGCATAGCAATAAATTATTATCAAAAATGTATTTCTGTTTTTGCTTTTTACATATTTTGTTAAAAGGCCAAATAAGGACTTCAAACCAAAAAAAAGTAATTTTCTGTTTTGTTTCATTCTTGGATGAGGCTTTAAAGGGTTAATTTGGAGAGTTCTCCTCTCTCAACCGACATGATGGCAAGATGGTGAAGAGTGTCTTGTCCCATTGTGCTCCTCATAATTCAGGTAATCAGACGCTGAGTCTGATTACCTGAATTATGATCTTAATTAAGTTTCTGCCCAACAGGATTCATACATTGTTTTCTAAATAGTAATCGGGAATAATGATAAACTCACAAAGGTCTTATTTGAGCAGTTTCTAATTCATTTCTGTCAAGAAGAGGGCGTTATTCGCCCTGTTTCTCCTCGGCTCTCCTCTCTCTCCCCCTCTCTCTCCTCTCAGCACAGAGCTGGAGGAGCGACTGTTGAACTGGTGAGGCAGGGCAGCTCATCCACCTGTGCTGCGCATTTTAAAGTCGGAGCAGACCTGGCGTTACATGGCATAGTTTCTGCATCCATTGCTCACTTCTAATCTCTCCTGAGGATTTTTCTCTAGCCTCATCTGGCATTTTTTCCCATCCGGTTATCATTTAGGTTATGCAATCAATGTTTTAATCGGTGTGTCTTTACTAGGACTACCGTTTCTTAATGATTAAAATATGACCAACTCCTGGCTCTGTGTTACAGGCGACTCTCGGGCTGCTACATGTTCCGAGTGGCCGTTACTGGCTGGTGGAATCTGATTACTCCGTCCGCATATGTCAGACTTAAATCCTAACTAAAGTGTCTATAGGCCTATTTAAAAAAAAAAAAAATGCAAGCCTGCATTCTGTAGATTTCCCCCAATATGCCAGAGAGTCTATTACTTTTTTAAAGGCGTAAATAAATTAATGAATTAAAAGATCAGTGCCCCAGGCATACCCAGGCACCGCAGATACACAACGGGGCACGTGCCCCTGTGAAAAGGGTCTACCGACGTCGACAGCTCATAGAACTGCGAATATGCCGTTTTCAGCCCAACCAATGTTAAACACCCAGCACCAAATACCCTATATAATCATTCTATGACCCCTTTAGATATAACCCTAAAGATATTTAAACATAACCTGTAACCCTAAGGAGAGTTCAGCACTACCACAGACCTTGCTTAGCTTGGCAGTAAGAGCTTCTTCGTCTCCAATGACTAAACCCCTGAAAAAACATTTGTTTCTGGGTCAGACTGAGTGAAACTACTGAAATTTTTATCCCACATAATTTAGAATGATGTTGATCAGGTTTTTTGATCACAGTATATATCGATATTAATTTAGCAGATGTTCACATTTGGAACAATCCTCAGCTGCGTCTTAAGGGCACCATGTCACTTACTCTTCTCCACTCGTAGAAGTAGGCGATGTCCATTAGTGTGTAATAGTCCTTTAATGGCTCGTCCCCATACAACACCTCCACCTGTAACACACAGTGGTGCAACATTACAATCTCAACACTAACAGAGCTTAATAGTACAAAACAGGTTGGGTTTTTTTTTTTTATAAACTGACACAAAAAAAATGTCCCTTTCAAAACTCAATACTTATCATGACGCACATTTCTAGATTTTCTTTTACAGAAGTTTATGAAAAAATGTAGGAAAATTCTATTAAATTCAGTTTATTCATATAGCACCAATTCACAACACATGTCACCTTAAGGCACTTTACAGCTCACCAGATCATACAGTCAAATTTATTCAAAGTTTTCTATCTAAGGAAAACCAGTTGATTGCATCGACTCATTGACTCCCTCACACCAAGCATGCTTGTACTGACAGTGGAGAGGAACAACTCCCTTTTAACAGGAAGAAACCTCCAGCAGAACCAGGCTCAGTGTGAGCGACCATCTGCCGAGGCCGACTGGGGTTCAAGGAGACAGAAGCCCCGTCCAGAAACACACAGCCAGGCAGACGAGCTCCAAGCCAACTCCCATTTCAATGTGTGTTGGTCATAAAACAAGTTGCTGAAGTCAGCTTTCTGTTAGGCACTCAGTAGGGCTAGGTCAGTGCTCTGTGGGCTCTGCTAACAGCAAAAATATTATAAATACATAAGAGTTTTGTGGACAAAAGTATGTATTCCCTTTTGGAGCCTAATGACCCAGACTAAGACACCATTAAGAGGTCTAGGCACATTTATTTGAGTAATTAGTTAATCGGGGTGTGACACCATCAGTTTCCAATAGTTGAAAAGCTCTTTCTTAAAATGTTTTCATTTATCTGAGACACTGATTTTTTTTTCTTATGCTCATGCATAAGAAAAAAAAACAATCTTCCTAATGACAATAAAATTAATGCTTGAAATATTCCACTCACTAATTAATGTATGATAGTTTATAATGTGCTGATTAGATAAGAATATGGTTGTTTTCTCCTTAGGAAAGAAATATGCACCTCCTGCAAGGCTGTTGCCAGTTCAGAGAAAACCAAATCTGAATCTTCTTGGACTTGGTCACTTTGCTGCACATTAATCCGAATCTCCCCGCAGCACAGGTCCTTAGGGCCCTGTCACACCTTGACAATTTACCCAGCACGTGCCTGACACCCCAGAATCTCCTAAAACGCTGGCATACCCTGAACTCTCTATGCATCTTTTAAATTTTAGCTGTATGCATAGCGTATTCATAACAAGTCCAGAACTCCTGTCCATCAACAGGGTAACTTATGCATAACGCACAGAAGCGCCATCCCCATGAAATGTCACAATCCAGTGTCCTGAGGGGGGCAGCAATGCGCCTGGAGGCGCTCGGCCTGCATAAAAAGATTTATTTGATCGCAATATTAACCTAGCTGCTGTTTACCGCTCACCCAAAAAAAAAAAAGTAAATAAAAAGAAAGAAAGAGAGTTTGCAGTCACAGCAGATTCAGCATCATGTCTGCTAGGACGTTTGTTGGTCGTGGGCGTGGATGAAGGGAGGTTTCATCACACTCAACTCACCCTATGATGTGGATGAAGTCTGGAGGAGTACTGACCGTTTCCTCCTGAGAACTCCCTTTTATGCCAAAATGCTGGCAATACGCCATTATACGGTAGCTGCAAGTTAGAAACACATTCAGCCGTCGTCTGGAACACATCAAATACGTTGATATGCGTTGGAGATAAGTTCTTGATAAGTTACGCATAAGTTACTCATAGGTTTTGGATAAGCTAGACGCCACGACTTATGAGTAATTTTGCTAAACGTATGTCAACAATCAAATAACTTACCTGTTACTTATTGCCCACGAACGAGCATACATAGCGTACATACTTGCCGTATGTCGACGTGCGCCGGCGTGTTTCAGCGTGCTCATAACTTATACAAAACGTACCCCTAACTTTTCCAACGTGTGCCACAATTTTTCCAGATTTTTCATACAGCAGGCATACGCTAGCTAAATCGTCATGGTGTGACAAGGGCTTTAACAGTCTGAAGTATCTGTCCTTACCAGTTGATCTCACCGCCAATCAGACTATTTAGACTCCAAGCAAATCCTCATCCAAATACAATGAGAGTTAAATACTTTGAATTTAAATGGAAAGTGGGAGAACCTAAAACACTTTAGCTGCAAGTAGGGATAACATTTGGACATTAGCCAAAAAAGTGATAGAGTATCTGCAGAGTATCCGATATTTTAATGCTGAAAGAATCACTCTGTTTCTATTAAAGGTTTCTGCTACTCCTTAACTTGACATGGGTCAGTTGTTTTCATACCTTTTGTTGTTGACTTTTGTTCCCCGTTTCAGTAATATTGCTTTATGAAGCCTTATCTAACATTCTACAGTGTAAAACATATAATAAAAGGAGCAATGATTACTGCTAATACGTACTGGGTCAATATCTGTATCGGCCAATTTGCCCTTTCCCCACCTAATGCTGAAGAAAGCCAACTGAAGCCATGTGTATTCAGTACACTCCTACACTCCATGGCAGCGTAGCAACGTTTTATCCATGCCCTTCATTATGTCCTGGATGAATTGAATACATCTTTAAAACCTCAACAACTGGTTTATGGAAAAAGACATTTGAGTCACAGCAGTAGTTAGTAGTAGTCCGGTTTGTTCCAACCCCCCGTTCCAAACTGATACGCCATGTTTACAGCTAAAGTCATTCCATCTGGCCAGGCTAGCATACCTCTGAACAGCTGCATGAAGGAACAATCCTTCATCTCTACCAGAAGTAAGGCCAGGTAATTCAATGCACATAGGGAAATATTTAGTGCTGTAAAGCTGCTCCATTTTCAAGCAGTTAAAGTTGTGAGAAGAAAAATGGAAGAAAAGGATATTAATGTTGCAAAGCTAGGCAGCATCCTACACTCCATCCGACTTGAGATGTAATAAAAGATGTAATAAAAGACAATTATGACCCAAAATGGGCCTATTTTCATTTGACAGTCAAAAGTCGACAGGAAGTGGCACACAAAGGGAAGTCCAGGGTCAATCAGTGTACCAACATCATTCATAAACAGTTAACGTGGAAAGCAGGTTGCACAAAAAAACTACATTTGTGGAGTGGAGAGAATTGGAGCTGCCTGGAACGTAGCTGTAAAACTGACAGGGCAGTCCACAGCTGGGCTGGTCCCGGAAAGGCTGATGGGACCTTAAAGAGAGATGCTATTTCCATGCATCTAGTATCATCTAATGTGAATAAAAGGCTATCACCAGACAGATCAGGCAGAGCAGAGAGTAATCTTAAAAATGGGTACTAATTGATAGAAAATTCTGAACTAAGTATGATGAAAATAAGAGATCAATTCTTAAAGGAAAATTCCGGTTTTTAACACTTTTAGCCCCTTTTCTGTAGTGTCCAGGATGAAATCGAATGATCGACACCAAAATTTTGACAATTGGTCCTGTCTCTGCTTTTTGGCTCAT